AGCAGCAAGGGCGCTCTGTCAGTTTCGGGGGGATTTAAACATCCCCCCGATATTTTTTACAGGGTTTCTGATTTTTGTGCACACCTGGGGACCGCCCCACGTGTGCACAAAATTCTCCCTCCCCTCCAGGTCCCCCCGATGTGCGGAAATAAGTATCCGCACACCAGGGGGCAACTTCGGAATTAGATATATAGATGATATTTAATAATATTAAGTGCAACTAATTAACTTTGTAGCTGTGGGCTCAGCCTGTCACTGCGTGATCAAACAGCACATGGCCAGTCCAAAATTTCACTTGGTGGCATCTTTCCACCCCTCCCAACATTAGCACTGTTCTCCAGCCCAGCTACGCTGCTCCTTCACAGAAATTGCCTTCATCCTGCAATCCAGGCTGCTACATGAAGCTGAAATGTAAAATTGGGAAGTACATAATGACAGGGTCTGCTGGTACTCATAAGACAAATTCACTTGGATTGGGTGGAGATGGGTGTGAATCTTTTTGCCCTGCTGCGTCTAATTTTTTGGCAGAACACTGTGTAAAAAAGGGTGTGAGCCTCTAGATTTACTGCGTCCAAGTTGTTAGGAATAAAAACCATCCCCGATGCTCAGTGCTGTTCACATTTGTGTAACTGCACACTCTGGAGCATCTTTTACACAGAAAATACTGAAGAAGGTTCCCTGCTCCCTAGTCGGTAAAGCACCAGAAAATAAGCATCTGAGAAACCCTGGGATAAACAAACACAGGTAAGGAAGGAACAGGTAAGGAAGAGGATTATCACTTTCTTCCACAGGGCATGGAGAGACTTGGAAGCAGTCAGTGGTGTGAAACAGTTTGGGGAATACGGAGGAAGAAAGGCCAACAAGTTATACCTCTTGCCTTTGTGGATCAGAAAGCAACCCTGTGGTTATTGGAAGGAGACACAAAAAAATGGCTGAACTCCTCTCAACAGGGGTAGAACAAAGCAGGCCTAATATCCCGCATTTCATGGTTTTGCATTGGTTCCCATCTTTATTTCTTTGCACACTAGTGAGTCATATGGTAGAAATGATCCTCAGCACCAAAAATGTTGAGTACTTTACCAAGATCTACAGAAATCATACTTCTAATTCTAAGAAAGACCAAAAGGATGGCAGCCCACCTGCATGGCGCTTTTTTATTCTGGAATCTATTAGAGAAATGCACCAACATCATTTTCCATTTCGCTGTAGCTTTAAAATGCTTGCATTCCTGTCAGTGCAATCCTTTTTGAAGGCAAGGTCATCAGAAACATCTCCCACTGGTTATCAGCTTACCCAGTTGCTTTCTTTCCTCAGTTTCCCATCTCTCTCTTGCTCTCTTCTTTAACAATCCCCATCATATCCTTCTTTGGGTGGTCAGAGGAGACAAATTCTCCCCTTTTCACCAGCAGGAAAGTTAGGGATGTGAGCCTCCAGATGGGACCTGGGGATCCTCCAGAGTTAACATCTTATCCCCAGACTATACAGGTCAGTCCCCCTGGAGAAAGTGGATCCTTGTCTTTTAACAGTTTTGTTGGGTTTTCATAGGGAAAGGTATGGTAGGGGTGGGGAAAGGTATGCGTTATGACACTCAGGGAACAGCAGAGTACAGAGAATCACCTAACAATTTAAAGCACTTAAATCGAGTTATACAAACAAACACAAATTCTTTCTTTGTTTAATACGAGTTTTCTGGCTATCATTAAGGTTTATACATTCAAAATCTATCTCTCTGCTCTCTTGTTTGGGTCTACATCTATTCCAAATCACTTCCAACTCTCCGTCATCGTGGTCCTTTAGCCTTACTGCTAAATTGTCAATTTTAGCAACATTCATGAATTCCAAATCGCTTCCAACTCTCCTTTACTGCTAAATTGTCAATTTTAGCAACATCTAATATCAGCTCCGGAGCTGCGGTGGCTCAAGTGGTTAAGACGCTGAACTGCAGGCTGTGGAAGGTCAGTAGTTCAGCAGTTCGAGACCCGAGTGTGCTGCATGACAGAGTGAGCTCCCATCTCTAGTTCCATCTCCTGCCAACCTAGCAGTTCAAAAGCAAGAAATTGCAAGTAGATAAATGGGTACCACTTCGGTGGGAAGGTAACAGCGTTCCGTGCGCCTTGGGGTTTAGTCATGCCGGCCACATGACCACGGAAACGTCTTCGGACAATGCTGGCTCTTCGGCTTGGAAACGGAGATGAGCACTGCAACCCTAGAGTCGGACTCGACTGGCTTTCGAGCAAGGGAACCTTTACCTTTACCTTTAATATCAGCTCCTCATCTGTTGGCACCTGGTTCATTGAGAAAGTGGATACTTTGGAGGGTGGACCCCACTAGGGTCCCTGTCCTCCCCAGGCTTTACCTCCCATTCTCCAGGCATTTCCCAACCTGGATCTGGCAACCCTGCCCTCCATACTGGGGGAATCTGGCAACCCTAGTGAACTAACACTAGAACGGCATGCACAAAACCACGCGGGTTTAAATGGAAGGTGCTTGCTGGATGCTACTGCACAGCTGCAATAGGGCAAGAAAACTTTGGATGCCACCCGTCCACGCATCGCAAGTGACATTCTACCCTGATTTAGAAAGGTGCGTGTTGTTTTTTATTGCAGCTGCAGAATAAATACACTGGGTGATGTAAGAATGGTGTGTATGGCAGAGACAGAAATCCGAAGTCAAGCTTAAAGGCTTGACTGCTCGGGTACTCTGCAGTAAGCTGTGTTGTCTTTCTTGAACTCTAAGCAAGATGATGAATGGCCGCATCACTATGTTTTGGCCACATCAGTATGTTATGCAATGATGTTTTGTGTAATGGCTGCATCAGTATGTTTTGCAAAACATCACTAACTTTATAGCTGTGTTTATCACTAAGTTTTGCATAACAGCCGCCATCAGTATGTTTTGCAACAGTATTAATTTGCACATTTCAATTAGTTATAATTATATCTAATGGCATTAACTGGGTACACTCTCTTTCATTTTTAATTTGTGAACTAGATGTTTTGATTGCTCCATATACTGGTTCTTTTTTTTAACAATTTTTTTTAGGATATCATCACTCAAAATCAACATTTATAATACATTTTTCATTCTACCCTCCTCCCTTCCCCCCCCCCATGGCTTCCCCCAGTGCTACAACCTCCTGCAAAATTCTTAAATTCCTTCTTCCTTCCCTTTATCATTACAAGTTCAATAGGTAACTGATCTCTTCATATATAAATTTCTCTATTTCTTATTCCATATTGTTAAAGTTTAACATTCAGTAATTATTAAAGCAAAATAAGTTGTCTCTTACATCCCAATTCTTCTCCAAATAGTCTTTTAAATCTTTCCAATCTGCTACAAAGTCTTCTGCTTCCATATTGTTAAGTTTTCTTGTCATCTTGTCCATTTCAACCATAAAAAGTAATTTTTTAATCCAATCTCCAATCTCCGGGACTTTGTCTTGCTTCCAACTTTGAGCATATGTCATTCTGGCAGTTGTGATCATATACCACATCAGTGTCCTTTTTGCCACATTGACCTCTCCCATTTTTAGTCCCAAAAGTAATATTTCTGGTTCTTTCTTAAATTTACATTTCACAATTTTTTCCATTTCTGCATGAATCTCAACACAATTTTTTTTGCTTTTTCACTAGTACACCACATTTGATGAAACGAGCCCTCAACCTTTTTGCACTTCCAACATTTGTTTGACATATTAGTATTCATATTAGCAATCTTTTTTGGTGTCATATACCATCTATACATCATCTTATAACAATTTTCTTTTAAGTTATTACACGTTGATATTTTCAGTGCATTTTTCCATAAATATTCCCAAGATTACATCATTATTTCTTTATTCATATTTACCGCCCATTTTACCATTTGTTCTTTAACTACCTCATCTTCTGTGTACCATTTTAACAGTATTTGCTCCATATACTGGTTCTGATCCAGTTTGGTATAGTGGTTAGGAGCGTGGACTCTAATCTGGGAGAACCAGGCTTGATTCCCCACTTCTCCACATGCAGCTGCTGGTGTGACCTTGGGTGAGTCACAAGTTCTCTCAGAAGCGTTCTCTCTAGAGCAGTCCTCGAAAGAGCTCTCTCAGCCCCACCTACCTCACAGGGTATCTGTTGTGGGGAGGAGAAGGGAAAGGAGATTGTAAGCTGCTCTGAGACTCCGAATGAAGGGCAGGGTATAAATCCAATCTCTCCTCCTCCTCCTCCTCCTCTTCTTCTTCATCCTTGCCCATGGTGGCTCCTGCTATCCACATATTGTGGAACTGCTTGCCTGCTGCTTCCCCAAGCCCTCTCTGTGCTTGCTCTTGAAGAAAGTGAAACACAAGGGGGCGCCTAACCTTCCATCATTATCTTGTCCCCCACAACCACTCAGACAGAACCCCGCCCCAGCTGCAACTAAGGGGAGGGGGATACAAAAGCAGAAGCTTTAATTTAAAAAAACCCCAAAAGAACACCTCGGCACAACCCAGACAGCCAGTTCCCTACCGGCTGTGTTGCCCTCGCCCATCACCCGCAGAGAGCTTTTGCCTGCGTTCCTTTCTGCTCCCTTTTCTTTCTTTTCTTTCTTTTTTTAAATACATTTTTATTGCTTTTATTCTAAAAACTACACAGATATCAAAGGAAGGGGTAACTGATTTCTTCTGTTTTCTTCTGAAAGGAAAGAAAACTACTACTAAGAACCCAAGTAGCAGTGGTCTAACAATTTTAACAATGCTTACAGTAATATTTCACTTAGAACACCTTTGTTACAATGAATAGTAAGGCTTATACATTTATCAGATGATAATATATCATGGTTTTAACTAGAGTAAGAGTGGCCAAGTAGTCTAACAAGGATATATGTCTTAAAAATTTATCATTTTTGTTTCTAAAGTCTGCTTCTCCATTGATTCTGGGAGTTTAGGAATCCTAAAACAGTTTCTTCAAGTGGTGTAGAAATATCGCTTCCATGATTTCCCATCTCGTGTTCCTCCTCTGCTGTTCCATCTTCTTCTATTATAATCCAGACCATCCACAAAGTGTTGGTTGTTTCTACAGAAATAGAGTCAATTTTTGTATATTATCCTCTTTATAAAATGTCTTTCAGTAGGAATCACAAGGATTTCACCGGGCAGAATAATCTTCTTAATATATTGTAGATACATTCCATAGAGCATATCCAACTCACTTATGTAAGATCCGCTTTAAATCTGTTACCGGTTCCATAGCCTTGCTCGATACTGTTTCCAAATTTTTCCAATTATTCTCGGAGTTTCGCTCTGTTTTGCTGATAGCTTCTTTATTTTATTTATTTATTTATTCTGGGATTTGTATCCCGCCCTACCCATATGGCCCAGGGCGGCAACAGACGGCAAACGCCGAGAATAAAACACACATAACATTAAAAGCTTAATAAATACGAACTAAAATTGGTGCTCTACAGTACATTTTAACAAGGACTCAGGATAGACGAATCTCATTTGCGGCTGATGATATCCAAGTTCGGGACGCCCGAGTGGTGTTCCTCTTCAGGGCAGCGTCTCTCCCTACCCACCCCCCGGCTTCACATGAGGGGGATGTGAATGCTTGAACAATTTGATGTTTATCTTATTTTAACTGCTCAGAACTCACAGTTCATCAGAAGTCTTCCGCCAGGTAAGTGAAATTGCTTGGCCATCTGCTCGCTTGTCCCAGTGTGCGTGTCTACCACCATTGCTGGTCTATGACGGTGGGACCTCTGGAGCAAAGGGGAGCCTCAATTCCTCGGCTGTTTGCCTTGGAAGAGGCACCCCTCACGCTCCATGGCTGGAGGCTCCCTACGATGGCCCCAGGGGTCCAGAATCATCCAGACCCCTCCCTACTGCCATATCATGGGATGCATCTCTCGGAGCTCCGAAGAGACGCACCCACCATTCAGTTCGCCAACACCGGAAACCCTCTTTCTGTTCCCTTTTCATACAATGAACTAACACTAAATTGTATGAGCAAAACCTGAACCATGAGGATTTAAATGGAAGCTTGCTGGATGCTACTGCGCAGCTGCAATAGGGAGATTTCGTAAAAAAAAATTTTTTAACTTTGGATGCCACCCCTTCACACGTCACAAGTGATGTTCTGCCTCGATTTAGAACAGTGAGGGTTTTTTAATTGCAGGTGCAGAATAAATACACTGGATGATGTGAAAATGATGTGTATGGCAGAGACAGAAATCCAAAGTCAAAGGCTTAAGAGAAGCCAATGTTGGAACAGGCCAATGGCCCATCCAGTCCAACACTCTGTCACACAGTGGCCAAAAATATCAGGTGCCATCAGGAGGTCCACCAGTGGGGCCAGGACACTAGAAGCCCTCCCACTGTTGCCCCCCACAAGCACCAAGAATACAGAGCATCACTTGTCCCAGACCTAAAGTTCCTATCTATAGTAAAGGTAATAATAATACTTAAAGGTTTCCCTTGCTCAAAAGCCAGTCCAACTCTGGGGGGGGGGGTGCTCATCTCCATTTCCAAGCAGAAGAGCCAGCGCTATCTTTAGATTTCTCCATGGTTATGTGGCAAGCATGACTAAACGCCAAGGTGCATGGAATGCTATTACCTTCCCACCGAAGCGGTACCTATTTATCTACTTGCAATTTCTTGCTTTTGAACTGCTAGGCTGGCAGGAGCTGGGGACAGAGATGGGAGCTCACTCTGTCACATGGCACTAGGGTCACGAACTGCCAAGCTACCAACCTTCCAGTCTGCAACTCAGTGTCTTAATTTCTGAGCCACCTTGTGGCTAATAGCCACTGATGGACCTCTGCTCCATATGTTTATCCAATTCCCTCTTGAAGCCTTCCATGCTTGTAGCCAGGGGTCTTGTTGTAGAAAAAGAGCTGCCGGAGCTCATTAGCATAACTCATTAGCATAACTTATTTGCATATGCCACGCCCCCTGACATCACCAGAAGTCTGTCAGAAGGCAACACCCACCGCTCAGGCTCCACTGGACTGTTTTGGATTGCTAGCTATTGTGGGCAGGGAGGGAACGTGCAGATCTGCCCTCACAGAGGAGGGAGAGCTTGTACCTGAATAAAACTTGGTCTTAAAGGTGCCACTGGACTGTTTTGGACCGGGGGGGCTCTACAGCTTACCTGGTTGCTTCTTGCTCTGACTGAGGGCTGCTGGGAGCAGGGGGTGGGGCTTGTTGCATGTGCCCCCCACCTGGCCTCTTTACTGCCGGAGCTCCGCTCCTGTGCGCTCCTGCAGGAAATGAACCCTGCCTTTAAGACCCACAGTCTTATTCTGGGTATAACCTTTTGTGTGCAGGCACACTTCTTCAGCCAATACAACACGCTGGCTCTCATTTTAAACTTTTTTCCAATGCTATACTATCCTTTCTGAGGTGTGGTGACCAGAATTGTACACAGTTTTCCAAATGAGGTCACACCATCGATTTGACTTCTCGAATACTCTGCAGTAAGCTGTGCATGCATAATTGGCCTATCTTTGCCTTTCTTCACCTCTAAGCAAGACAATGAATGGCCGTATCAGTATGTTTTCGCCGCATCAGTATGTTTTGCTATGATGGTTTGCATAATGGCCACTTCAGTATGTCTTGTAAAACATCAGTAAGTTTTGCATAATGTCCATATAATATGTTTTCCAACAGTATTGCAAATTTCAATTAGTTATAATTATATTTAATGACATACCTGTAATTGAGTACATTCTCTTCTTTCATTTTTAATTTGTGATCTAGATGTTTTGTTTGTTCCATTTACTGGTTCTGATTATGTATCTTTGCACTTTCATTAAAAAAAGAAATTTGTAAGACTTGAAATTATCTGACATTGGTATGGTTGGAGCAACTGGATTGTTTAGGCAGTGTAGAGATGTGACTCTGGCTGACCCTCGTCTACCTGCCCTCCAATTTTGGTGAGGATTGGAGTTACAGGGTCTGAGTTATGGCCTCCCAAAGAAGGTACCCCCAGGAAAATGCTTTCTGAGGAAATGACAGGTGGTCATTTTGACAGGTGTGGGTTCAGGAGGTTCAAGAGTATATAGATTGGATCCTATACAAGCTAGAGACATCAAAGACTCTCCTCTATCTGCTCTCCAAGTTTGGTGAGGATTGGATTTATGGGGTCTGAGTTACAGCCCCCCAAAGAAGGTGCCCCCAAGAAAGAGCTTTCTGGGGAAATGACAGGCACGGGTTCTGGAGTGTACAGAATGGGTCCTGTGCAAGGTAGAGACATCATAGTCACAGGGATCTTCCTCAGATACTCCTCTACATGCTCTTGAAGTCCCCCCCCCAGTTGTTTTGAAGTTTGGTAAACATTTAGATTGAGCATGTAGAGACAGTCCATCTGGAGACGTATCCATTCACAAACTGGCACAAACCTCCACACACTGCTTGAAAGTTCATGGAGAGTTGGTGCCAGCTGACCTGCCATGAACTTGAGTTCATAAACCATGAACCAGCCAAACTTCAGTTTGTGAGCCAGTTTGTGCCCATCCCTAATGACAGCAACCATATAGGAAGGAAGGACATTTTCTACAGAGAACTCATTGTTTTACTATTTAATTTCTGTGCATACATATCCACAGAGTGTCTTGGCGATGATGTCTGTTGAAGGACATGACTTTGCGGGAGCCATTTTCATTATCTGGGCAATGTGGTGGGCTGTGATAAACGCCATGAAGCTCTTCAGCCAGAAACCGACGACTTATCCCCCAAAACTGCTACGTCCTCAACTTGTGGAAAATGTGGTCTGCATCATCCTTGCTCTCACTGGCAAGTACCAGATCAGCTTTTAGTTGTCTGCAAGGGAAGGGTCACAGAACAAGCCAAAGCTGGGGGAACACAGTCATTCTTGAGTGAGATCAACAGCATGATGACCAAGGCCATACCCTTTTGTCTGTCTTCTCACATTGTCTACTCTGGTCAAACAGTTTTTATCAGGATGCTGAAGCATTGCCAAAAACTGCTTCACCACAATAAGCAATGGGACAAACAGACCAGCCTGAGGCAACTATTCTGCATACCACCTTAAGGTCTAGCATGGTTCATAGAAGGGTATAATGACACATGGCAGACATGACTCCATACGGATTATTCCCAGTTGTAATGGGAGTACCCATTGGAGGGTTACACAGTCATACATTTATTTATACGTAACACCAGCCATGCTAGATCAGTTCAATAGTCCATCTACTTCACCCTCTGGTTTCATACAATTGGCCAAACAGAAGCCCACAGAAGGCTTAGAACAGGGCTCCCCAACACGGTGCCCATGTGGGTGCCATGGCGCCGGCTTCCACCTTCCTCAGTGCCCATCAAGAGTTTTTAGAAAGCAGGGTTCTTACTCAGCAGGGCTTCTGAATGGTCACTGGAGACTTTTGATGTAGTGTCCTTTACTCTATAAGCCTCTGTCCTTTATCTCTCAGAGCCCATGCAGTAATTAAGGGAGGAGTTTTGCTGGGGATTGGTAGTGCAGTCTTATAGCACCTCAGCAATGCTAGCATTCATCTAGGTCCTGTCAAGTCAAGCCGAGGCCCTTCAGACATTACCTTCACAGCATGGAAACCGTAGGAGTGCAGTCCTTCCCCCTCCCCTGAAAGTTACATCAATTGCTCCCAGGACACATGAGAAAAGCCAGTATCACCTTCACCTCAACCAAAGTTGCATCCAATAAGGGAATAGCTTGTGCCATCAGTGCTTGCTTACCCAAATAATGCTTCTAGCATTATTTTTACAGTGTGGGAATGAGCCACATAGGTGACGGGGGAAAGGAACACTTGGTTCTCATTCTTAAGGTTGTCCTTGTGACATGGCATGCCAAGCAAGGGGAGGGAACGCCACCCTGGACTAATTCTTCTCTATGCTCAACCAGAACGTGGGATGGGCTCTACCCCTTCAGGTGGCAGGGAATGATTTTTCCATCATCAAAATGTTCAGTTTTCAAGATGGCCAAATCTGTGGATACTTAAATCCAGAGATTGGAGCCATTAACAAACAAGACATATCTTTCTGCAAACATGAGAAAAGACCCAGATTTGTAGAAAAATCTGAAAACTAAAACAACAACAATAAAACCACTGGAGGGTGGGTTAAAACCCATCCAAAATAATAAAGTACCGCCTGTAGCTTTAAGAAACAAATGCCCTCTAGGGCCGTTGCCAGTCAAATGCCACAGTACTGCCAGTTGAGACCTTGGGTTTTGTCAGTAAAAGGCAGGGAAAGGGGGACAGATCTAGTTCCAGGGCTGTTTTGATCTTTGAGGGAAGTCTCACTGGGGCCAGGCCCACCAATAACCACTGAGCAACTTGATACCACTTGAGTTCCATGGCACATCTAGGCCCAGGTGCTTGCTACTGTTCAACAGTCACCACTACACAAAAGCCAATGTAGTAGAATGGTGAGGGTGAGACTAGGTTCAAATCCCCACCATCTGCCATGGCGCTCCCTGATTGACTTTGGGCCACACATTTTCAGCCTAACTTACTTCACAGGGTTGCTATGACGATAAAATGGTTGTGAAGAGAACAATGTTCCACCAGGCCTATGGCTAAGGAGAGCAATGGTCAACATCAAGCCTGGCCTCCTCTATCCTTCACCTCTTCACCCCTCTTCACCCCTCCAAGGGGTAGGATACAAATGTTTAACGTCATCTGGAATATTTTGATCAGGGGTCATTTCATAGAAAAAGAGCTAGGGGAACTCATTAGCATAAATCATTAGCATATGCCACACCCCCTGACATCACCGGAAGTGTGTCATAAGGCCACACACCCCGCCCCCAACGGTCCCGGCCGCCGGTGCCGGCCTTGCAGCTCCACTGCCGAGCCCCATGAGGGGCCCGGCGGTGGACCTGCAAGGCCGGCGGGAGTGCGAGGAAGCCCCGCGAAGGCCCTCCCTGGCCCTAGGCAGGCAGGGGTGGGGAGAGGCGGGGAGGAAGCAACTTACCCTCCCTCTTCTCCTGCCTCCTCCTGGCTGAATGAGGGCTGGAAGCGGGGTGGCCGGAAGCAGGGGACGGGGCTTCGTCATGTGCCCCGCCCCCCATACCTCACCCGGGGGAACTGCATTCCCCCGCGTTCCCCCCCGAAATGACCTCTGATTTTGATTGTTGTTTAAGTTTTTAACCGGTTTTTATGATTATTTATTGGAATGACAAGAGTGTATTTATTGAATGTCGTGAACTGCCCTGAGCCCTATTTGAGGGCTGGCGGGCTAGAAATAAAATAAATAAATAAATGTAAGCTCCTTTAGGCTTCCATTGTGGCGCAAGGCTGTAAGCAAAGTAAATAAATAGTATAGTTTCCTCCCATGGATTGCATGGAGGTGAAACAGCTTGTTGATACTCTGAAGTCTGGCAGAGCCCCAGGTCTAGATCTAATTCCTCCAGAGCTGATCAAAAGGAATGCAGATTTGGTGGGTGTCGGTTCTGGCATCCCTATTCATGCAAATTGACCAAACAAGGAAAATCCCTAAGGATTGGGGAGTAGCTGTTATCATCCCATTGTATAAAAAGGGCACCAAAGAAGACCCCAATAACTATAGACCAATCAGTTTCTTAAGCATAGTGAGTAAACTCTATGAGAGACATCTTTTGTGGAAATTTAGGGATTGGCTGGAAAACAATTTTTGTTTAGCAGAAGAACAGGCCGGCTTTAGAGGGGGCCGACAAGTTCAATTTTTCAAGATACCTTTGTTCCACCATGGCTTAGGGCTGTAGAGGAGAAACATCCCTACTATGGATGTACAGAACAATATTTGTGTTCTCTTGCCTATGATAAAGCCAGAGACATGGTGTAACAGAGGATATTGGATATCATCAGGCAAGATGATCTAACTCTCTGTCTACCATGGTCAGAGGCCTGTGGGACCTTACAGTTCCGCAGGGCCTACAAGGCAGAGATGTTCCACCAGGGTTTTGGTTGGGGACAGCGACAGTTATCCAACATGGCTTGTGCCCCCCCCCATCACCCCTCCAGAAAAATAACTCAATCAAAAAGAACCAGGATGTGACCAAAAATCTTTCAAAACTCCAGTCTTTCAATTGTACAGTTGCTAGTGACGCCATCTTGAGCTTGAATTTATTTTAGATTGGTTTTAATGGTATTAATCTTGTGATACTTTATGTTTTTAAATTGTTTCTAAGGCTTAATGTCATGTTGCAAATCGCCCAGAGCCTGCCACAAGTTGAGATGGGGCGATTAATAAATCTAATAAATGATAAGTAGCACAGAGAAATGGCATGCCCTTTGAAAGCCTATTAACAGAGTAACTCCTATGTCCGATCGCTATCATCTATCAAATCATGAATATAGGAGAATGTTTACACTAACGCAATGGGACGCACTCCCCTCAGCCGCTATCGAAGGAAAGTATAAGAAAATTCCTTTTGAAGAATGAATATATCCCTGTTGTAATGAAGTTATAGAGTCCCTAGAACATGTTATATTTGATTGCATGGCATATAATAACTTTCAGGAATCTCTTCCGTCTTCCACGATTTTACCCCTTACTAGCAGACAAAAAGTGCGCCTTCCGAAGAACTTCCTTGCAGATAGGCAGCCTGAGGTTACATATCAATTGGCCAGATTTGGTTGGCTTGCTGCAAGAACTAGAAAATCCTTATTAGCTCAGGCAGAAAATTAAGTATTTTATTATTGTTTCTATTTTATTGTTGTTTCTACCACCTTAATTCTATAATAATTGCTGGCTTTGGCCGTGAACAAAATTCATTAATTCAATATTATAGTTGAAGGGCAGATAACAGGTAGGATGGTTGGTGGGTGGGAAGGAAAGAAGGAAACAGAGGAAGGTGAGGATAGGGGAGCCACCAGGAAAATGGAAAGAGGAAATAGTGAAGGGAAGGTGGTAATGTCCGTGCAGGTTCCTTACTGTACAATTGGGCCAACCTGGCAGCAGATACTGTATCAATGGGCCATAGTTCTCTTGGGTAAAGGACACAAGGGAGGAGGGAAAGCTGAAGAGGCAGGGGGGCAATGAGCATAGGCTGGCTGGTGGATGGGAAGGAGAGAGGGAAACAGGAAAAGGGGGAGACGTTATAGGGGCTTTCAGGGAAGGGGAAGAGGAAATAATGGGATGGGAAAGATAAGATGTCCCCTATAAATTCTTGCAGGTTCCCTGCTTGTACTATATATAATTCTAAACAATGGCCATAGAGTGTGGTGGTGTGGGCCAGTGGTGTGGAAGAAGGCAACAGGCATGAGGTATGCCTATCACCACCTCCCAGACCTGGCCAGCCATCACCTAGGTGAGCCCTGCGGCGCTAATAGCGACACTAGGGCTCAACTTGCTTTTTGTATATCCAGCCAAATACAACCCCCAAAACTCTCCCCACTGCCACCACCTCAACCTCTATACAGGTAGACAATGGAGGAGGTGGGGATAGATACACAAACAAACAAAAAAGGTTGCCTTCCCATTGAGCTTAGTCTACCCAGATGCTGAGAACACAAACAGGTTGGAGTAAAGTAAAGATAATGCCATTTTTCCATAGAGATGTGCAAGCATTCAAAAGGATGATGGGGGCCAAAGACATTCCTCTTTCCAGACAGGCTGTCCTCACTGATTCCCTGTTGATCTTTAGGATTGCTATTTCAGCAGTTTGCACAGGGAGGCCCTGGCCTGCATCTCTACGATGAGAAGAATCACCAGTGGGTGGATCTTAAGAGCTGGCACCATTCAACAGTATTCCTGTTCTTCTTGGTCAGCAGTATCGTTGGTGCACTTACACACTGTCCACTAAGGCTCCCCTTGGGGCTGGATCGCCTGTTGCTTTCCGTGGCTATGTTCAATGAAGGTAAGCAGGAATTCTTTAAAAATCAAACGGTCCAAGAGGATCTGTGCTTTTAAATGTCTGAGAGTCTCTTTGAGAAAACAGTCGTGAGAGTCTGACCCACAAATCAAGACAGTGAACAAGACTTACAAAGACAATATTTCCTATATATTATTACCCATAAACACTACATAACAATGAACAAATGCCTACAAATTATAAGAAAACCCGTCAGAAACTGAGATAACAGGTTTGCGGCCTGAATCATTTTGAGATCAGTGTCCTACTACTAAATGCATTATATTATTCCTGATTCTGTGATAGCACTATGTGCATGAAAGCTCTTGTACTACTTTATAGAATATTTCCTGAGGAAGATTTTGAAACTTTGTTATTATAAAATCCGGAGATGACGTTGCCCCAAGATTGCATACAGCCTTATAAAGCAAATCAACCCCCCGTCATATAAATTGTCATTCTAACACACTCCAGCAATAACAAGGCTACCCTATATCATACATACAATCATGAGATCACTGAACAGAAGATCTGGTTCCGTGATCTCTTGCATGATGTATGGTAGCCCCACCACTACCAGAAAACATCAAAATGACAATTTATATTACAAAAAAGCCAATTTGCTCCATAAAACTGTACAACTGAAGAAAGCCCCAATCCCAGGGCCGAAACCCGCAGTAGATCCAATTAATAAAAACCGGCTGATCGCCCGAAAAATATCCCGTTCAAAAAGTCTTCCTCCCTCTCAAAAACGTAAAACTACATTAAACCCCCCATTCAAAAATTTAGGGCGATTTTTATATTTCTTTTGATATATTTGAGCTTGTCTTAATAACTTCTTGTGGGAACATTCTGAATTTCATAAAAATCAGTTGACAATTAATTTATTTTGAAAATGAGCCCTCCCCATTCAAAAATATAGGGCTATTTTTGGATTTCTTTTGATATATTTGAGTTTGTCTTAATAGATTTTTATATTTCTTTTGATATATTTGAGCTTGTCTTAATAACTTCTTGTGGGAACATTCTGAATTTCATAAAAATCAGTTGACAATTAATTTATTTTGAAAATGAGCCCTCCCCATTCAAAAATATAGGGCTATTTTTGGATTTCTTTTGATATATTTGAGTTTGTCTTAATGACTTGTGTGAACATTTTGAATTTCATAAAAATCGGTTGACAATATTAATCTAATTTGAAAATGAACCCCATTCAAAAATATAAGTGTCTTTTTGAATTAATTTTAATAGATTTGAGT